ACACACACACACACACACACACACACACTCTCTCTCTCTCTCTCTCTCTCTCTCTCTCTCTCTCTCTCTCTCTGTCTCTCTGTGTGTGTGTCTCTCTCTCTCTCTCTCTCTCTCTCTCTCTCTCCCGTGCTGTCTCCCCTCCCTCCATTCATGCTGCCTTGTAGAGTGTGAGGCTACATGAACAACGTGTTAACCCTTGAGGGCTCAGCCAAGTGCGAGTTCATCATTTAGCAGTACGGCATTCCCTGGGAAAAATTCCACCCTCTGACTTCACCACCCCAACCAAGGTTCACAATCATCATTGCTGTGTACAATATTAAATTGTTTGTTTAAAACTTATACTGTGTATATGTATGTGTGTATATATGTGTCTGGTGAAAAAAATTTCCCTGGAACCTAAGCCCTGCATTTACATTAATTCTTATGGGGAAATTGGATTCACTTAACATTATTTCACTTAAAGTAGCATTTTTCAGGAACATAACTACGACGTTAAACGAGGAGTTACTGTACTCCACAATAGCCCAGTCACCAGTGCTAAGCCTGCCCAGTGAGGTCTCGACATATTTAAGATGCTAATGTTTGGTTTACGGAATCACTTTTCTGTCAAATGCTGCCTGTGTGGTCTCTGATTAGAGGGACCTTTCTAACTAAGCATACTCACCCCTGCATGGTATTGATCAGGAGGAGCCATCTAGCTAATATCCTTCCTGCCTGTGGCAGGAGAAGTCTTCTAGCTAATGTCTCTCCTGGATGGCGAAAGCCAGTGGAAAGGTGTTGAGACCATTATAGTGGGTTGTCAGTGCCTCCTCGAGGGTTGGCAAACTGCTGATTTCTCTTTTTAAAAGGCCTTTGCTCACTCTCTAATTATCACTCTGTTTTGAATTTTCCTTTTCAACACCTTGGCACTTCGCAATTGCCAGGAGAGACTTAAAGCCGGCTTTCCACGCGATCCGCAACCTCGGCAGTCACGAGATAGTCACTTGGCATCCTGAATGACAGCCAAGGCTGTCATTGTAAATCGGATGAGGACATCCTCTCATGCTGGGTGGAACATTATCACAGCTCCCTGTACCACCCTCCAGCAGCCACTTGCTGAGAACTGGATGATTTGGCAGCCACTGTGATTTCGGACCCAGACACTTGTACTGATGCACGAATGTTGGATGAAGTGAAGCATGCCAGCTGTAAACTGAAAAACGAACGTGCGACCGGCACTGATGGCATCCCTCCAGAACTGCTAAAATGCGCTATTGATCCTATAGCGGAATGACTTCTGGCCCTCTTTTGCCTGGTGTGGAGAACTGGAACCTTGCCAGCTGCCTGGATGGACGGTATTGTGATCTCACTTTATACGGGCAAGGAACCGTGCAGCAAATGTAAGAGCTACAGGCTAATGACCTTGTTGTCCGTGCCAGGGAAGGTGATTGCACGTGTTCTGCTGGCGTGTTTGGAGCCCCTGATGCATTGAAAGCATCACCCCTAACTGTCATGTATTTATGAGGAACAGGTCCACATTAGACACCATTTTGGCCCTCTGCTTGTTGTCGGAGATACACCACGAGTTCAAGAAGTCCCTGAACGTGGTGTATGTCAATCTTAAGGCTGTGTTTGATTCAGTTGATCAAGTCACACTATTTAAGGCCTAAAAGGGTGTAGGTGTCCCTACCACTCTGCTGGACTTGATTAGTGAGCTGCATAATGGAACCACTGCCTCTGTACATCTGGGGAACTGGATGTCAGCAGCTTTTAAATTAGTATCTGGTGTCAGGCAGGGCTGTGTCTTAGCCCCTGCACTCTTTTGTCGGGCAATGGATTTCATAATGCAGCATTCTGTCAGGTCCATAGGCATTAAGATTGGTGATCTCTCACTCTCAGATCTTGACTATGCTGCTGCTGATGATCTAATACAGAGCCCCAACAGGTTTTGCGAGGCACTCCAGCAAATGGAGGCGGAATTGGCTAAGGTTGGCCTCCGTGATTTGTGGTCAAAGACAAAGCTGCAAAATCTAGACTCAGGACCATCCGTGATACCAGTCTCTTTGAATAATGAAACTATTGAAGCAGTCTCCAACGTTTGCTATTTGGGTTCTATACTCACCAATTCCTCCAACTGTCACACGGAGGTTCTCCACTGGATTGACATCGAAGCGTCTGCCATGGGTTGTTTACAATCAATATGGAATCAGTATCATCTCAGCACAACAACCAAGTCCAGGATCTATCTGAGCTGTATCCTCTCCGTAATGCTGTATGGTTGCGAAACATGGCCACTATGCCGCTCAGACTGGGCAAAGCTGGAGGCTTTCCGCACAAAATGCCAGCGTCGTATATTGGGCATAAAGTGGAATGACTTCATCTGTAATGCAGATGTGTACAGTCATTCTGGTCTACAGACTACTGGGGCCATTGTCTACAGACGGCAACTTATGCTTTTCGGACATGTCGTGAGAATGCCACAAGACATTCCGGCAAACTCTGTTCTCCAGGTGGCTTGTAACATCTGGGATAAAATTCCACCAGCTGAGGGGTGGAGGCAGCCCAGAGGCAGACCCCCCCCATTACATTGGTGCATCAAGTCTGTTCTGACATTGGACAGCCTGTCAAGCCCTTGTGGCCACACAGGAACAGACCAAATGGTGGACAGAGGCTTAGCTGACCATTTGGCTAAGCACTGAAGAAGGGAATATTGTTGGGAAG